TACTCTTATTTTTATGTTTGTTTTATTTTATTTTATGTATTGTTATTATCATTTACTTTCTATCACCCTGACATTGTTTTGTTTGCTGTATTGTCATGTATATGTTGTTTAAAGCATAATAAAAATAAAAAATAAAAAAAATAATAATAATAAAAAAAGAATTCGCTCGAGGGGCATCATGGGATAGCGCAGCATGCATGGGATGCGCACTCCAGAATCTCGCCGGAAGTAGTAAGTCATCCAGGTACTTCTCGAATACTGATTTTCGAATTCTATGAATTCGGACATACTACTCGGCTCGCATACTGATTTTAGCGTACTATATAGTATGGAAGTATGCGGAGGAGATGCGGAGCGATGATTGGTACTGAGGGAACGTGATGGTGAGAGAGAATGGTAAATGGAGCAGCAGGAACAAGTCGGGGATGTGACACTATACAAGCAGAGGCAATGTTTTGGTTCCATTGTCTGATCATTTTAAGATTAAGCAACTGCTGTTGGTTTTCAAGTGTAGTACTGTGAATACAATTATTTGTTTAATTTAATTAGTATGGAAACATCTAATTTTACTATACAGATATACAGGGGCAATTCTAGGATTTTTTTTAAAAGGCTGACACAGTGGCACCGTCTCCCTCCTGTGCCAACCTATTAAAAATACTATAAATGTGGTAGTACATCCCCAATAGTATCTGGATGCAGCCTTTATGATGCAAGCTGAGACTGCATCACTTGCAATCCCAGACACAATGCACTCAAATGGAGCTAGTGACATCACTGTGTGAGGGGTAGGGTTAGATGTTAGGTGAATCCATTCAAAAGCATTGGATATAGCTCAAATTGCACTGCACCAGGTCTACAACATGACATCACAAATGATCAGATATGAAACCAAAATATCTATCTGCTTGTAGACATGGTAAACATGGCCACAACTTAAATTTGTTTGTAGAACCACCCTTATTCAATGTTCAAAGCTAACTTTCTATTCATAAAACATTTTAAATGAGTATGTTTATAATTACAAATGAGTTTGATGAAAATAAAATATGTGTGAAATAATGTTCCATCACTGTACATCATTCAGTGTAACAAATATATGGATTAAAATAACAAAAACATACTTATTCTGTCCTGTACTTATTAAAATGTATAAAAGTTAAACTTTTATCTTAAAAGAAGGCTACATTTATTGTTAGGCTACATTTAGTGCTACATTTACATGCTTTATGTTACACCAATGGCATTGTTGTTGTCCTCTTTATAAACATTTAAAATATAAGATGACTATTTGACTTATATCCATCATTATTATCTGATACTGCAATCTATAAAGATTGTTGTGCAGCTAAATAATGATGTGATTTAATATCTATTGAAATTGGCTGTAGTGTGTGTGTGTGTGTGTGTGTGTGTGTGTGTGTGTGTGTGTGTGTGTGTGTGTGTGTGGTGTGTGTGTGTGTGTGTGTGTGTGTGGTGTGTGTGTGTGTGTGTGTGTGTGTGTGTGTGTGTGTGTGTGTGTGTGTGTGTGTGTGTGTGTGTGTGTGCGTGTGTGTGTGTGTGTGTGTGTGCGTGTGTGTGATGCAGATGGAAGGGCATCCGCTGCATAAAACATATGCTGGAAAAGTTGACAGTTCATTCCGCTGTGGCGTCCAGATAAATAAAAGGACTAAGCCGAAAAAAAAATAACCTAGTTTCAAGTCGCCTGTCAAGAACCAGACTGAATGTCTGTTTCTCTCGCCTCCTAGCAGCCATCAAAAAGTAGGCAATGTTAGCTTTAACCTTTAGCGTCATCTGGTGTACACTGATAAAATAGTCTGTTTCTACCGTGTTTATTTGGCGCTTGTTCAAATGTAGGCCTACGTCAGACTCAGAATAGTTTGTCTTTGTACCTATTCAAATAAAACTTAAACTTGTCTGCATGTATCATGTGTTAAATGAATCTAATTCCTATCCCCTAAGATAACTTTCATTTTCTCTAGAAACTATCAGCCGAGCTCCTTTTAAGGCACAATACAAGGAACCGGTTTCATTGTTTTCAGCGCAGACTTATGAAAACATTTGTGTGTATTTCCTGTTATGCAAAGAGAAGACTCAATGAAAAAGAGACCAATACGAGCATGGTTTTCTCTTATTTTAGTGTTAATTTACACTTAGATAGCCTATATACTCACTCAGAATTTTGAAGTGTCTCACTTTGCCATATATAAAGTGAATTGCCAGAAATTAATAAAGGCTAAATATATAATTTTAATGTGTCTACGTCTAATTTACAGAATGAATACTAGCCTACTACTTGTATTAGTTTTATCATGGTTATTCATGAACACATTTTTTTCTCCTCACCACTGCTTCATTTGGAACAACCTAAGTATTGTCTACAAAAACAAATTATTATTTTTCAAGAATATTTTTTGACTGATTTAATAGTCAATTATTAGATAGCATTGCATTGGTAAGTTATATTTATTTTCTTAGTTTTTAAAAAAGCTCAATTTTGAACCCTCAGTATACAACACAGTAATTAATGCCATTTCCATTTAAAAACTTTATTGAAAGGAGTACAAACTTTTAATTTGGATCCTACCGATAGAAGGGATATCAATAGTTGAAAACAAATTCAATAATCGTATAATGCAGAATTATTTTAACCAAAACAATTCCACCTTCTTCTTTTAAATGTCTGGCCACGTATAAAATAAATTGGGATGCTACTTGGAATCTTCCACATAAATATTTGCTAACCCGTTCATTAATTAATTTTCTTTTCGGCTTAGTCCCTTTATTCATCAGGGTCCACCACAGCGGAATGAACCGGCAACTTATCCAGCATATGTTTTAAGCAGCGAATGCCCTTCCAGCTGCAACCCATCACTGGGAAACACCCATACACTCTCATTCACACACATACACTACGGACAATTTTAGCTTACCCATTTCACCTACCACACGTCTTTGGACTTGTGGGGAAAACTTGAGCGCCCAGAGGAAACCCATGCGAACACGGGGAAAACATAAAAACTCCACACAGAAATGCCAACTGACCCAGCCAAGGCTTAAACCAGCACCCTTCTTACTGCGAGGCAACAGCACTACCTACTGCACCACCACGTGGCCCCTATTTGACAACAAAGTAAAAGAAATCACTTACAAAAATATTACATAGTTGCTATACTTGTAAAAGTTTACAGCAGCTTAATTGGAGTTCACATGGTTAATTCAGTTGATTGAACATGATTTGAAAAGGCATACATCTGCATATATAAGGTCCCAGGGTTGACAGTGCATGTCAAAGCACAAACCAAGCATGACGACAAAGGAATTGTCTGTGGACCTCTAAGACAGAATTGTCTTGAGGCACAAGGCGGGGAAGGTTACAGAAAAATTTCTGCTGCTCTAAAAGTTCCAATAAGCACAGTGGCTTCCATCTCCCGTAAGTGGAAGATGTTTGGAACCACCAGGACTCTTCCCAAAGCTGGCGGGCCATCTAAGCTGAGTAATCGGGGGAGAAGGGCCTCAGGGAGGGAATCAATAACCTGATGGTCACTCTGTCTGAGCTCCAACATTCTTCTGTAAAGAGAGGAGAACCTTACAGAAAGACAACAATCTGTGCAAGCAATCTACCAATCAGTATAGTGGTCAGACTAAAGCCACTATTTGCCTGGAATTTTCTAAAATGCATCTGAAGGACTCTCAGACCATAAGAAACAAAATTCTCTGGTTTGATGAGACTAAAATTTAACTCTTTGGAGTAAATGCCAGGTGTTACGTTTAAAAAAAAAAAAAGGCACCACTCATCACCAGGCATCCCTGTGAAGCATGGTGATGGCAACATCATGCTGTGGATATGTTTTAAGCAGCAGGAACTGTAAGACTAGTCAGGAGAGAGGGAAAGATGAATGCAGCAATGTACAAAAACATCCTGAATAAAAAAAGCACACCGCCAAAAATCAATGGAGTGGCTTCACAACAACTCCTTCACAACAACTCCCTGAATGTCCTTGTGTGGCCCGGTCAGAGCCCATACCTAAACCCTATTGAACATCTCTGGAGAGATCTAAAAATGTACATTGTCACTTACCATCCAACATGATAGAGCTTGAGAGGTACTGCAAAGAGCAATGGGCAAAAATTCCAGAAGACAACTGTGCCAAGCTTGTGGCATCATATTCAAAAAGACTTGAGGCTGAAATTGCTGCCAAAGGTGCATCAACAAAGTATTGAGCAAAGGCTGTGAATACTTACTTGTGATTGTTCAGGTTTGTTTATTTTTAATAAATTTGCAACAATTAAAAAAAAAAAAAATTTTTTTTTGCATTGTCATTATGGGGTATTGTGTGTGGAATTTTGAGGAAATAAATGAATTTAATAAATTTTGGAATAAGGCTGTAACAAAAAATGAGGAAAAAGCGAAGTGCTATAAACACTTTCTGGATGCATTGTACGCTCCTCTTTTAACATTTTTGTATTAAATGTTTCTATATATGCATTTCCTGTAGTAAAAGTGAATTTAATAAATCGTGTTAATAACTAAAATTGGAAAATGTGTGCTATATATTCATATGCAATTTGATAATTTGATAAAGTGATTTTGTTGTATAATAAAACTATGTGCTGGTTCTTGTAAAAAGCAAAAAAAAAAAAAAACAACAACAACTCATAAATAGTGGATGGTGAGAAGAAGTTGCATTTACCATTATAGTTCATTAGTGTCATCAAAAGTCGGAAAACTTGTTTCCTCTTTAAAAATAATCGAAAAAACAGTGTAACAGTAAAAATGTAAGTTAAACAGTGGAAGGAAGTAACTTTGCGATAGAGAAGCACACGCTTCTCTGAAAATAAGCTGCAGCGCCCTCCCACACACACACAAACACACACACACACACAAACACACACACACACACACACACAAAACAACGTTGTACGATTCACATGCAAGCGTCTCCCCCATTATCCAATCACTGTTGTTCTTACTCTCGCTCGAACCGCCGTCTAACCAATCGTCGTGTTCGTTTTTTCAGAGGTAGCAGTGGCGGTAATGTTATGGAGTTTTCTCCCCTGCTCATCAGTGGCAAATAGGAGACCCAGGCCTACTGGATACGCTAGTTTTACCGGCTCTTAAAAATCAGCATTCAAGTGGTGGTGGTGAATACATTACGTTTAGTCCTGCATGAGAGCCAACGAGCGCATCGAAACATGGTGGTTCTCAAAATCAGAGACCAGGTAAGTGATGTCAGAAAAAGCTAGCCGAGTTCGGCTAACAAGTGCTAACACGCTAGTCAACTGCCCAACAACATCACAGACGATCACACTATCCGATACCACGGAATGAAAGCTGTTTAACAGAGTAAATACGCGCTGCATTTCGCTGTAATAGAATAATAATTTGAAACGTTTTTATTTGGGTGTGTGTTTTCTCGTCCATTGGGATTGTGGCTAGTAGTTGCTAAGCTAAATGTGCGCGAGCCACGATATTAGTTTATCAGATCACAGGCTATTAAGTGTACTAATTTTGCCTTCTGTAATATGATAAGTGTAATTTTAAGTCGCACAAATCTACAGTTTTATCGTTGTGTACATGATAAGGCAACAGTTGGCTTCGTGAGGTTAAATGGTTAACATTTCTTTGCATTGCTGGCTGTAAAAGTGCATATAGAAGTTGATTTAGCCTTTTTTCATTGCTGGATTTAAAGTTAATTACAGCGATAACTTTCACGACAGTCTGTTATATGACAACTTTTCAGAGTGCACGACAGGTGTATGGCTGTCTTTCAGGGATGGACAAACTTGGTCACTGGTCCCAGAGAGTAGAATAATTCAAATAGCAATTGAAAGAGTGTGATGGTGAATTTGCTTTTGGCATATAAGTTAATGTAAACTTGACTGTCTTTATTCAAGCGAGGTGTCTTGCATGGTGCTGATTCCAATTTAGAGTGACCTTAGAAGTGTAGCAGAGATGTCATATATTTTGGAAATTTGACCTTTGTAATCATGACACTGCCAAAGTTGCTTTATTTGATTACTGCCATTATAAAGCAGCCATATTACTACTTCGCTCTGGATATCTACATTTTTAAATGTGTTTATTTAACATTTACAGGTTTATTTTGTGCATGTGTATATATATATATATATATTTTTTTTTGTATTTTTAAAAAAAAAAATTTTTGAACCAATGTAACCATTTTCATTTATTTGATTAATGCTTATAAGTACTAAATATTGATACAAGATGTTCAATTAAATGATTAGAAAATTCATTTAACTTGTAACGATTGTAATGATTCACTTGACTCAATTCGATATGATGATACGATATCATGATCCTAAGCTCACCATACGGTTTTAGTCATGATTTTTAAACAAAATTATTTGAAACTAATTTAAGGTGAACAAGAGAACTTTCATTTTATTCTTAAACGCTGCACACTTTTTTTTGTAAAATATAACATTTTCTGCTATAACTAATTAATTAATAAAAAATAATAATACAAAATAAAGAATAACTCATTAATATAAATAAACAAACTAAAACTGTGACTGCTGGGATTTGACATTTTAAAAAATAAATATTGGCAGCATATCTTTTCTGGTATAAGCTGCGGTCTTTGCACTTGGGATGCTCGGATCAGGGTTTTTGCAGCTGATACAAAGTACTGGTATAACCAATTCATAGTGATTGTCCAATATAGAGCAATTACCAACCTACATCACACATGACGTCACACAGGTTCCCGGTTACAAAAAAAATTTGAGTCCAAAAATAGAAAACTTAACTTTTACCATACACCACACACTGCTTTAATACCGACTACAGACGTCTTTGGCTAATGGCTCGTTTCCACTGACTGGTACAGTACGGTATGGTTCGGGTCGTTACGGGTCACCTTTATCAGGCTTGCGTTTCCACTACCAAGGGTACCCTTTTGGTGGGCGTGGTGTATGACAAAGTTTCAGTCGACGTCATTTTCGCTCAAGAAAATGTCTACAATAAAGCTGCACAGGTCGTTCACATATCATATGAAAAGCACTTCTCAAAAAACAGATGCTTTACACACATAAATACTTGTGTAAATGTTTATTACTAACTTTTCTATAAACAGTAGTTGATTATAACTGCAGATCAATGATGGTGCGAAATAGCCTTCTGTAACATCTATAATTATATTAAATAAATAAATAAATGAACTTATATGAACACATACAGACCCTTACAGTCTCCGATATGTTACCAACTACAGAAGAACTACACAAAGCAGACATTTCGTCGTTAATTAGGTTCAAAACAACACAAAGTATAGCCTACAGTCAGTGAAAACCTCTCATTTGTGTCTGTAATCTTCAGCAGCACATGAAGCCTCTGTTAGAGAGTCATTCCATCATTCCCAGTTTATAATAGTCCAAAAGGTGATAATAAAGATTAAAACAAGGCAGTTTGTTCACGTTTGCTGAAGAAATAACGTGCTCCTTGGCTTCGCCTTTTTCCCGCGCTCCACTCTCGCGTTTGTCCTTTTCTTTCTGAATGTGTCAGCTTCTCACAGGATCAGGTTTCCAAAGCTTGTCAATAATCAAGTGCATGTTATTATTATTAGATCAAGAAGTTTGTTATTTCAGATAGAGACGCGCGGCGAGCGCAAGAAAGAAAGCGAAACCACTCGGGCTTCAGACTGGCTCGTTAAAAACTTCACGGCACAGGGTGAACCTGCTCTTCTTCATGGCTTTGTGGCTGTTTATCATGACGACGACAGGGTTTGTTTGCAGGATTGACCATGGCTGCATATGTATTTATAATTCCGCTGTAATCTCTCGCTGTGTATTTTAAACATGGCGGGTCCTTTGTTTACATTCTGGCTTGTTGAGTCTACGAATGACGTATCCCTGTAAACCAATAGCGTTCAGCTGCGCGTGTAGCTCCACCTTTTGGGACCCTTTCTGCAGTTTGGGACCCTTTCGAAAGGGTCCCGAAAAAGTGGTACGGTACTGTTTGGTTCTGTATGCCTTTTGACAGTGGAAACAGCCATAAAAGTGTATCAAACCGTACCGTACCACTCAGTGGAAACAGACCATAAATGGGAGCTGAATAAAGTGAGGAGCTAATTAGAAATGCTAGACTCTGCAGTTTTCATGTCATATCAGGTAAGTTCACACTATGCTGAATCACACGCATTACTCGTTTTTGATTGCAGAAATGCTTTCAGCAAAAACAGTTACTTCTGGTTAATTAAACTGCGGACACTGAATACTAAGAATGAAACGTGAAAGTTAAGTTTATTAAGGTAAACTTGGTTTTATATTCACACATTCATTCAGTGAGAACTTGTGACACACTCCCTATATTGTTTACCACGGCACTTTGAATACTCGGTCTGAAATAACCTGCAAGTGTGACTTGAAAACAACATTAAGACTGTTTATTTGACTGTGAACAATGTTGTATATTGATAGTCATTGGCTGCTGATATGATTTCGCTATTTAGAGTTTACAAATAATATTTTTATGAAATTATATCGTTAAGGAGAAAGTCCGAATGTGCGAATATAAAACCGACTTTACCTCTATAGGTTCACATACCCTGCCCTACAGGGGCAGTCCAGTGTCAGAATGCAGTCGTTTTGTGTGTCGGTGATTAATTACCCAGGCCTTGTGTTACGTTAACTCCATCTTCTTTCCTTGTCTTTGGCTTGGCAGAATCTCGGCTTTTAGCTCTACATAGTGTTAAATCTGGTCATCATGGAGCATTATTTCTTGCACATGACCACACAGAACATCATTGTTGGCATCCAAAGACTTGTAGATTTTAGGGCTGTGCAATTAATCGAAAATCCGATTTCGATTTCGATTATGGCTTCTAACGATTATGAAAAACCATTAATCGAGATAAACGATTATTGCATCATATACCAAAAGCGCGAAAGACCGCGTGTTTATGTGCGTGTACAACACGCACACACGCATAAGCACGCGGTCAGCATTCGGTCTCCTTCGCACACTGAGACGAGCAGAGGAGCGCAGACATCTAAAGTAATCTTAACATGAGTGCTTTAATGGTCAAATAGGTGTCAAAACGCGGCGATTAGTGATTATTCATATTAACCCTCATTTGTGTAATAAACAAACGAGTTGAGAATCAAAAGACACGTGAAAGAAAAACCATTAAAGTTACAGTGCGAAATGCTGCCGCCTGTTTTATCATTAATCAAACGATGAGAACATCCCTTACTGCTCCTGACTGAAGGACTATCAGTCGAAGTCAGAATTATTAGCCCTCCAGAATATTAGCAACCCTTTTCCTCCAATTTCTGTTTGATGGAAAGAAGTTTTTTTAAACTTATTTCTGAACACAATAGTTTTGATGTATCATGTCTAATTACTGATTTGTTTTATCTTTGCTATGATGACAGTACATAACATTTTACTAGATGTTTTTCAAAATACAATCATTTAAATTAAAGTGCAATTCAAAGGCTTAATTAGAGTAATGAGACAAGTCATTGCATAACAGTAGTTTCTTCTGCAGACAATCAAAAAATATATTGCTTAAGGGGGCTAATAATATTGACCTTAAAATAGGTTTCAAAATAATTAAATCTGCTTTTATTCTAGCTAAAATAAAACAAATAAGACTTTCTCCAGAAGAAAAAAATATTAGAAGAAATACTGTTAAAATTCCTTGCTCTGTTTAACATAATTTGGGAAATAGTTATTTAAAAAAACAAAATTCTCAGGAGCGCTAATAATTTTGACTTCAACTGATAATCGTGATTACAATTATGACCAAAATAATCGTGATTGATTTTTTCCAAAATCGAGCAGCCCTAGTAGACCTTTAACTTCTCTCTTGTAAAATCACTTGGAGCTTCAATGAGATTGTATAATTGGGGCTGGATGCTTGGTAATTTAGTCTTATCCAATATCCATTGGGTGGGTGCTATCGCAAATGGACCTGTCAGATGAACACCGCTCACTTTAATGTTAATTTTGCAGAATCACTGTGTTTATCACTGTATAAATAATATATATAATATGTAATCAATATATCTTATTTCTAAGACAACAACAAACTCTGCACCGCATCTGATGTCATTACCTCGCTGTAAATGCTAGCGCTCCCGGTTTCTTTCTGCCACCTCTTTGCGCGCGCATCCTGAATGTTTAAAAACATGGTAATTAATCTATAGAGTAATGATTTTGATGCTTCAAGCTATATAATGCACAAAGCACA